TTTATTTATTTAATTTATATGCCGCCCACTCTACCCAGAGGTCTCTGGGCGGCTTACAATAATTAAAATTCAATAAAATAAAATGACTAAAATACAGTTAAAATACAATTAAAACGCAATTAAAATTGCCATCATCAGGACCCACAGCTGTTATTTCAATTAAACGCCTTCTGGAACAGGAAGGTTTTAACCTGGCGCCGAAATGTCATCAATGTCGGCGCCAGACGAATTTCACTATGATAATGCTAAATACTTTTTTTCTTTAAATATATTTTTCTCATTCTTGAATTTCTGGATTGATTACCTGCACTTTTGCCTTTTTTTTTTTTTTTAGCGAGCCTTTTCAATGGATGACCGCATTGCTTGGACACACATTACAATTCCAGAATCATTGAAGCAAGGAAAAGTAGAAGATGAGTGGTATAGCCTGAGTGGAAGGCAGGGAGATGACAAAGAAGGAATGATTAATCTGGTCATGTCATATACGGTAAGCTGAAAAACAAGTCAATGGGTTGTTCTGTATAGGAAGAGCTATGTTTTATGAAGAAACAGAGAGAAACTTTGTTGGGGTTGGACCAATATGTCAGCAGTTATTCTGTGCACTTCAAAAGTTGTTTGATACATGAAGAGATTAAGGGCATGGAATGAAATAAGTGCTCATTGAAAACCAAGAATCGGATTTATGGAAGATCATCAATTTCACTTCACCAGAGATTGGCATTAGTTTCCCCTGTGATGGGCACAGTGCCACATGTTGAGGCATCAGTTCTCCATTATTTCAAGATTTTGAGAAATTTGTGAGTTTTTGTACATTCATATCACTAAGTGTATCTTGCAAAAATAGTTTAAAATGTTTTCCCCCTAAATCTCTGTGTTGTGACAACAGACTTACCTCTGCCTGCTTGTTTTCAGATGTACTATGTATATAGTTGTAGAGCAAGTTGAAATTGCAGACTGGGGATGTATTAATGTTGAACACAGATATTGGACAAAATCCTGTTTGTGTAGTTATGCCTGTTTAAACCTATTTCAGATGCTGGAAATAATCAATTCAAACAAATGAAAAACTTTATGTCATCACCCCCTTTATGTTCTGAGGCTTCCTAAGGTTCCCTTTTGACTTAGAAAAACCTTTGGTAGCCTGGGATGGGTGGGAGGGAGCCTTAAATAGTTAAAAACTATCACCAGTGGTGGAGCCAATCTGATAAAGATTTTTGACTGTTTAAAGGCCCCCTTCCATCTTGAGGCTCCAAAGGCTTTTTGAGGGCAACAGGAAGCCTGGAGAAAGGAAGGGGGGTACAGAAATAGGAAGCTTTGGATTTGTTTAAATTCATTATTTCTAGTACAGTCAACCCTCGACTTAAGAACGTCCCTAGATATGAACTTTTTAATTTACTAACGGCTCCGTTGGCAAAAATTGGCATCGATTTGCGAACGGAGCTCAACCTAGTTGTCCGCCACCATGGGAGACCTCCCTGGGGGTCCCTGCCGCCATGATCGGCACCTTCGGAGCTCTCAAAGGGCTTCCCCCCCGACATCGGAGCAAGCCCTTTGAGAGCTCCGAAGCCAAAAAGGCAGGGAGAAAGGGCTGGAAATTTGAAATTCCGGCCCTTTCTCCCTGCCTTTTTCATTTGGAGCTCTCAAAGGCCTTGCTCTGATGTGGGGGGGGAAGCTCTTTGAGAGCTCCGAAGCCAAAAAGGCAGGGGAAAAGGGCGGGAAATTGGAATTTCCAGCCCTTTCCCCCTGCCTTTTTGCCTTTTGAAATGCTGGAATGGATTAATTCTGTTCCCATGCATTTCAGAGGGAAATGGTACTTTGAATTATGAACTTTGTGACATGCAAACGTCGTTCCAAAACAGATTAAATTTGTAAGTCAAGGTACCACTGTACCTGGATTCAGTGTACACCAGCATAACCACACAAACAGGATTTTGGCCAATATCTCCTTTTCAGTATCCATTCCAGTGTCCCAGAGAAAAGTGAGATTTGTTTGATAACTAAGATAATCTTAAACTTAAGCTGAATACATGGTTCATGATTAAATGTTAAGCAGTGAGAAAGGATCATTTTGCAAAGGCTGGTTGCTAGCCAGCATGATTTTTTCAAGTTCCTTGGATAAGATTTTTTGGATTTATGGGTTTTTCAACTATTCCCTCCACAGAACTGCAAATTACCTTTAGGTTTCCTTTACAGAGCATTTAAAGTCATCTTGCACAAAATATTCAAATTACCGTATTTTTCGCTCCATAAGATGCACCTTTCCATAAGACGCACCAATTTTTTAGGAGAAGAAAACAGGAAAATATAATCTATTTTCTTCGCTCCATAAGACGCACAGACTTTCCACCCCCCTGTTTTGTGGGGAAAAAGTGCGTCTTATGGTGCGAAAAATACGGTACTTCTGTGATTAAAGGAACAGTTTGGAGTTTTTATAAATGTAGCTGATGCTACCAAATCTTTCTTAAAAAAGCAATCTTCGAAATATATCTATGAAGATCTGGCTCACATCCATCATTTTACAATATATTCTGTATTCTTGCCCATGCAAATTCCATACCCATTTTCCAAAGACTTTCTTCTTAATAAGGAGACCATATATTGTTCAGAAAAGTTAAGCTGTGTAATTGTTGTATTTAGAAAGTTTACTGTTGCAGAAATGTTTAACAATATGAATTTGTGAAGGTAATTTCTTTGAGAAGAGAGACAAGAATTATTTAATGATGACTGCTTAAATCTTCTCATGAGTCTTTATGATTAAGTTTAAAATGTGGGATGAGTTAGCTGAAATCTTTCAAATCTGCACATAGTCTGCAAAATTGTAACTTAAGCTTATGTATTTCAGCACTTTTACCGTGCATTTCTCTTTCCTTGTGTAAAAAACAACAGTTGTATCTTGTCCATACATAATATTTTCTGTGCACAGATAGGCTTTTTCCAGTTTAGCCCATTATGTGAGAGAAGAGAGTTGGATCCAGCAGCCTGCTTCCCGTTGTGCAGAACATCATCCTGTCTCTTGAGCAATGTTTTCTAATAGTTCTGATTGTAAAACTGTGCCATTGCCAGGACTTCTGCTTATGCGTTTCTGAATCTAGTCCACCAAAGGAACCTCTGCATTCCTTCCTCTTGCACCCTCGGAAATGAAACAGCACATGACATTGCCTACTGATAATTTCAAGTACCTACGGTAGTTTAGTTTAAAGAAGAAGTGTCATTTATTCATTAAAAAGACTATCTGTACATTGTAATAGTTCTTTTTAAAATGCAATTTATTCAGGGACACTCATAGTCAAATATCCAAAAAGTGGTGGTGCTTAATGATTGGTGACAAAATATTGTTTGATACACTTAGTGATACAGTAAGTGACATATCTTGACTGGGTTTGAACAAATACATCTTGTTTTTTGTTCTGATAATAGTTTCTAAAACAGGTATTTTTGTTTAATCTTTGATATCTAGTCCTTACCAGCTGCCATGATGATGCAACCCCAGCCCGTGGTCCTGATGCCCACTGTATATCAGCAAGGAGTTGGATATGTGCCTATAACAGGTATGTTATTCCATTGTTCTCACTTTTCATGTGAGCTTTGCAAAGCTCTTGAAAGTTCATAATTCTGAACAGGAGTAGAGAGAATCTCTGTTTTCTAAAGAATCTAACTTGTAATATGCCGCGAGCATATTGATTGTAATATGCCGCGAGCATATTGATTGAAGACAGGAGGGCCTGGCGTGCTCTGGTCCATGGGGTCACGAAGAGTCGGACACGACTAAACGACTAAACACACACACATATTGATTCCACAAAAGTGTGTGTGTGTGTATTTGTATATGTTAAAAACATCACTGATCTTGTAATAGGGTCACTATAGATCATTAAACAAAGTTGTTACACACTCATGGTAGGCTGCCCCTATCAGCAACCGAATCTCCATATTTTGTGCTGGCTTTTGCTTTGAAACTTAAGAGGATCCTTGGGTAGAGTGCATAGCAAGAATTCAATCCTAAGCATACCAGTTTGTGAACAACTGTGGCCAGAATCCCTAACCAAGAATGGTTGTTGTGTGTGTCAATCAATAGGAGGCACTCATAGTCACAAAGTTTACCTGGATCTTTGGTGACAAGGATGGTGCCGAGTATCTCCAGACTATAAACGTGCTTTTTAGGGGAGTGTAGTCTTATCCAGAAGAAGCCATTGAATAATTCCTAGACCAGGGAATCAGCTAAAAATAAAGCCTCCACTTGGTCAGGTTTCTGCTCCAGTTTATTGGGCCTCATTCAGCTTATCAGTGCTACCAAGCATTGGACTTGTGCAACTCAGTTTGGCTCAGATATCCCAGATTAAGAGATATGGCTGCTGCTGACACTGTGTCCCAAATTTCCTAGTGACTGATTCCAATGACTTCATAGTAGATATTAAACATCGCAAAGGATAAGATGATAGGTAATCTACAGTACTCCACAGTACAGGCATCAAGGGCCAATATACAATTATCTGATACAGCTCTCTGAAACTAGCTCTACAGATAAGAATTTAAACAATGCAAATAGAGCTGGTCTAGGAAGCCACTGATGTTATCTGAGAGGTTAATCAGCAAGGTTGCAGTCTTCCTGCTTTTGTAAAAGAGATCATCCATCAGAGTACCTGGAGGCGATTCTGTACCAGAACTAGGCCTGAAACAAGTTAAGCTGCTTCTTCCAAGAATATCTGGATTTGAGCTGCCACCCTCTTCTTATAAATGGCTTATCCCAAAAGGGTGGCTGTGTAGTAATTACCTAGAGTATACTCCATCAGAGATTAGTGTGACAACCCCAGACCTACTGGAGTGTGCCACACTTTCATTATGCTGCCACCAACCATTCCCTATAAGAAGTCACACAGACCAGGAATGGATTTTTAACAAACAAAAGAACAAGGTTTATTTAAACAACAAACAGGGTAAATAAAAAGATCAGGTAAATAAGATACTGCAACGTGGCTTAGTCTCAATCATACACGGCTGTGTAGTAATTACCTAGGGTATACTCCATCAGAGATTAGTACACTACTGTATATTCAAAGTTAATAGGCGTTGATCAATGTTCCCTCTCCCCAGCTTACTCAGTAGTCAAGATAGGCAAGGGTTGAGAGAGCATATAGCTCTCCAGTTTACTGCAAACATCTTTTTCATGTTTTCGGGCCCAAAAAAACTGAAATAGATCCCACAGTGTAGACTGCACATTGGAATAAAAACTGGGCCTGTAAAAACTAGCATCAGGGCTGTTGTGGAGACAAGCAGTTTTTAAAGTTCATTGGCATTTGATCACAGTGAGATCCTATGAGTTCTAGCATCGTATTCACTATCATAGATGCTACTAAAGTTACAGCCACATTGTATTGTATGAATGAAAAGCTTCATTTCAGTATTTGTTGTGGACCAGGATAGTAAAGTGTGTTGCTTATATGTTGCCAATAGCTCTTAAAACCATCTCTGAACAGTTTGCAACATAGTTATGCAGGTTACTCTCCCTCCCCCTTGAGCTGGCAGTTTACCAACCTCAGAAGGATGAAAGGATAGTAGATATCTCGAGTTTTTCAAAGGTTACCACATCATGCCGTGGTATGCCAGTATGTGATACAGTATGCCCTACTAATTTGTTCTGTGAATAAAGATCAAAGTGAAGTTCATATTGATTGAGTTTGGGACTTTTTTGTCCCAAAAATTTCAGTGTAAAAGTACACATGATTTGTATTTTTCATCCCCCCCCCATTGTTTCTTACGTAAGACTTCTGTACTCGGTCCCAGATCATATATAATTTCTAACTGAAGCTCACTTCGTGGTTACATCTGAAATAGTTTCCTTTTCAGAGCTGATAAATGGTGATGGATAGCAACCTGATCAGAAGACTGGATACTTAATTGTAGTCACATCCAATAACCCTGACTTGCCTGTATAGGAGGCTGATTAGAAAGAAGGATTCTTGTGGAGGTCTGTATGACACTACTAGGCATACTCTCACTCACATGAACAGTTCATGGGGATTTAGACAACTTGGAGCTTTGTTCAGGCAATCAACAGAGTTGAATAAACATTTACACTTACTGAAAAGAAAAGCCCTGACAGTTGCTTTGTGTTTGTGTGAGTAATACTTAACTGATTAACAAAGGAGTCAACATCTGGGTTTTTCCCTTGCATGGTGTCCTTTTGTGAATGTCAGTGAGCACAAGAAAGTATCCTGTGACCAGAGGTCGTCAACCTTTTTCCTACCGCGGGCCGGCTAAGCCTCTGAGGGAGGCGGGGCGTTCCCTCGCACTCATGCTCTCGGATGCATGCACAAAGCATTGGGGGGACGCGCATGTGCCAGAGTCCCACACGCACTCTCCCACCACTTCACGCATGTGCAGGAGCACATGCTGGCGCCAGCAGAAGCCTGGGAGTCTGAGCATGGCTGGGGGGCTCCCTCCGGCCACTCGCCTCCTGACAGGCTCCAACAAGGCTGGGAGTGGGGTTCCTCGCCGCCCTCCGTGGTGGGAAATTCAAATGGCAAGCAGCTGCAGGTGCCGGTTCTGGAGCTGGAGGCACCCGCGACAGCATTGGCCTGCTGAGGGTGGTGAGGAGCACCGACCCTGGCTTTGTTGGACCTGTTGAGAGGTGAGCAGCTGGGAAGCCATGCTCAGCCTCCCAGCTATTGGCTGCCTCCATGGCCAGGCCATGAAGACAGACTCCTTGCCCCCCACTCCCCTCCCCACAGCTGCTTTGCACATGGGGGTGCATGCCTGAAGGGGTGAGGGAGCATTCATGCTGGCATTGGCATGTGCGCGCGTGCACAAAACAGCTGTGGGGAGAGGAGTGCGTGCCATGGGGGGGGGGGCGGCTGTCCTTGCAGCCCGGTTGGGCTCAAGCCACGGACTGTCAACAGGCCACGGACCGGGGGTTGACGACTTTTGCTGTAGACCATCTTGACTGCTGCCATTGGTGTTGTCAGCATTTGGGCTACCCTTTGCTATGTAAAACTTGGCATCCGTTTTCCTGCTGAAAATGCAGGCACCATATTGTGCAGCAATATTGGGCCTTTTCCTGGCTTTTTGAATCATGGATCCAGAAGCACAATATCCCACATTCATAAACCTGAGGCTTTTTAAAGAATTGAACATGCAATCATTTCTGTAAAGGTTCTCTATTCTGCTTGTTTAAGTTTCCGTTACTAGGTCTAGACTTCAGATTAGATAACCCTGCAATCTTTATTCATCTTGCACTTTACAAATAGCCCTCTTCTGTATCTCTCAGTATACTGAGTGATGATAAAGATCATGTAAGTGAAAAATCAGTCATCACCTTAAAGGTGACAGAGCCTTCGGATATCTTAAAGATTAATTTTTTACTTTTGGGGCTCTGGTGGACCAGATCCCATTTCATCAGATGTGTGAAAATTTTTCATAGAGATGCAACTTTTACAGAATCATTGAAGCCTTTGGTAGATAGTTCCCCTCAAGTTTCTTAGCAGTTAACTAAAAATGGTGTGTGTGTGTGTTTGGTTTGATATGAATGCAGCATGTATTTTCTTGTCATAGTTAATTTTATGTTACTGTTTTTACAGAATCATTTATGCATTTAATAGCTTGTACAGTGTTTTGCATACTTGTGAAATTTATGAATGATGCATTTTTACTTAGATATACGGCACATTTTGAGGTAAGCACACAAATATTGCAGTTTCAGAAATATAAATGCCTTAGTTTAGGACAAACAAAATTGAATAAACCAATTGACCTGCTGTTTTCTTCACTTGTGGAAGTTGTTAAAAGTTACACCAGTAACCACAGGTATAAATGTGCAGTAGGATTCTGGGCATAGAAAGTCTTCTACAAGTCTAGTATTATAAATAATAGCATATTTTGATACAGTGGACCCTCTACTTATAGAATTAATCCATATTGGAACAGTGGCTGCAGGTCGAAAAGTCTGTAGGTCAAGTCTCCATTGGCCTACAATGCATTGAAAACGGATTAATCCCGTAACCGGCTGTTTTTGTTCCATTTTGTTTTGTTTTTTCTGGTCTGTAAGTCGATTCTCCGGCTGCAAGTCGAACTTAAATTTTGTGGCCAGAGAAGTCTGTAACTGGAAAAGTCTGTAAGTCGAGGAGTCTGTAAGTTGATTGGTGACGCTAGATGATTAAACTTCATAAACGTTTGGGCATCTACAGTGTAGGAATTTTTTCTCTCAATGCAGTAGAACATTAGGTCTCTAGCTTTGGAACCAGTAGTTGAGAATTCGATTATTTCACAGTGCCTCCTTGACAGGGGCTGGATTTGGTGACCCATTGGGTCCCTTGCAGCTTTGCAGATCTAAGATTATATATTCTACATAACAAATTTTCAACTATACATTTTTTGTATGTGAAATCTTTAAAAAAATACATTTTATTACAAAAGAGGAAGTATTTCATAGGAATGCCTTCTATATACTGTACTATGTTTAAAAAAGAGAATTGGGTGAAAATTTTGGGGAAAGGTACAACTCCCCTGCCCTAGCCCATACATCTCAGATCCTGAGCTGGCACATACTAGAGTGGTCTTAATTGGCTAGATAGGCGGGATATAAATAAAATAAAATAAATAAAAATAAAGTAACCGTGAGGTCAGAAACAAATGATGTGAAAAAAATGGGGAATTATAGTACCTCTCTGGGAAATGGTTACAAAGTCAGCAAATCTAGCTGGGGGTAGTGATTCCCGCTCCCCTGGTTTTTAGTTTCTTTGACTATAACAGTTTTGTTTAACTTTTGTATGCCTTGTTGATATCATTTCATTGGAAAAAGTACTAGGAATGTTTTTGTGGCTGTTTTGATACAACCCATCTAGAAGTTACAATTTTTTTCCTGATCTGATCTTTATTTCAACAAACATAGTGAAAATGCTTTTCTCTTAATTGTTTTTACATTATGGAACAGTGGTCAGTACTTTTGCTTTTGCATGCTACCAGTTTATATTATGAAGGAGAACGTTATGCTAGGTATAGATTGAACATCATAACAGTTTTGATCTTCCCTTTGACATGGGAATTGTGAATAGTTGTGTTTGATATTTCAAAAAATTGCAAGGAATGTTCATCTGCTTTTTTTCTTTGTTTAGAATAGATAGTGTTTTCCTGAACATGGCCGTGGTAAAAGTATAGGAAGTAGATACAGTGGTGCCTCGCATAGCAATTGCTTCGTATAGCGATGAAATCGCTTTGCGATGAAGAATTTGTGATCGCTGTTGCAATCGTTTTGCGATGTTCCCTATAGGGGAATTTCGCTTTGCGATGATCGGTTCCCTGCTTGGGGAACCGATCATGGCAAAGCAATGCTTTTTAAACAGCTAATAGGCGCCACACGCTGCCCCCCCAAGAGCTCGTGCATAAATAGGGGACGGCGGGAGGGGGGAGAGGGGGTGCTCCGGATTGGAGCCTCGGGAGGAGGGAAGGACGGGCGAAGGGCCTGGCCCCGATCCCTGCTCACACCCCTGGGGCGCTGAGCCAGAGAGCCGTCGGGGTGGGAGGCGCTGCAAAGGAGGAGGTGCCCGCCTGGGACCAGGATCAGGGCGGCAGTGGCTGGACAGGGGGCAGCGCGCCAGAGACCAGAGACCCCCTCCTTGCCCCATTTGCACCCCGGGAGAGCTCCGCCAAGGAGACCGGGTATCCGGGGTTGGCTGGCTGGTGGTGGGTGGTGCGCCCCTTCCTGCCCCAGGCGGCTGCCTGCCTCTGAGCCCTCCTCCCGCCACTCGCTGTCCAAGGCGGACAAACCCCGGAGGCCTTCCTTGCAGCACCCGGGGAGCACGGCTGCATCCATGTCGAACTGATGGGCGCTGTGGGCAGGAGGGGGGCGGAGGCAGAGGCCAGAGCTGAGCGCCTTGGGCAGCTGATGCCCTGTCTGCAGGGCTGGCCCTGGAAAGGCTCGCTGGGTTTGCCCGGTGGCTGCCCAGGCAGAGGCCCGGACGCGTCCTGTCCCTCCGGCCCGCCTGTCTGCGCCCCGGTGGAATTTCACTTTGCCATGATCGGTTCCCTGCTTGAGGAACCGATCATCGCAAAGCAATGCTTTTTTAACAGCTGATCGGCGGTTTCAAAATGGCCGCCCGTTTTAATGTGTTTCTATGGGCTTTTTATTTTTGCATTGCGACGTTTTCGTTTAGCAGCAATTTCGCTGGAACGAATTAGCGTTGCAATGCGAGGCACCACTGTATAGGGAACAGTAGCACACATGGAAACCCTTATCTACTGTCTCCCAAGTATGTATACTCCTCTACAGACCTGTGCACATTTAGCACAGAGATTTGGCATATGATCAGCTAAGTGCATTTAGAATCTTGGGTGTGATTTAGAGCATGCTTAGAAACTCTTTTCATATGATCTCACACAAAGGTCTTTAAAGAAATCTGCACTTTTGTAGATGTTGAGATTGAAGCTTACATGTGTGCATGAGAGTAAGGCACATTGATGGCATTACAGTGGTGCCTCAACTTATGACCATAATCTGTTCCAGAAGATGGACGTAACTCGAAATGGTAGTAGGTCGAAGCGCCATTTCCCATTGAAATGCATTGGAACACAATTAATCCATTCCAGAAAAAAGAAAGACCCCCCCCAAAAAAAAACACTGCAAGCCCCATAGGAATGTGCCGGGGTTGCAAAACACACACACACAAACAAAAACAAAAAACAACCAAAAATAAACCAGAGAACAAGCCCCAAAGGCGCTGGGGCTTTAAAAAACAAACAAAACCAAAAATAAACCCGGGAGCAAGCCTTGAAGGTGCTATGGCTGCAAAAACAAACAAACAAACAAACAAACAAACAAACCAAAAAACAAAACAACAACATAGCACAGAGGCATAACCCCCCCAGCCCAAACTCACCCTGCAAAACCCACCCAGAACTGACAGTTTTTAAAAAGCAGAAAGCAGCACCTTACCTTACCAGGCAGTCCGAAGCCTCCCTGCAAACACACACACTCTCACTCAGAAGCAGAAGCCAGGCAGTCCCAAGACTCCTCCAATTGCGCACACTCTAACTGCTGGGGCGAAGGAGCTACAAAGAAGAAGCCTCTTCGCCACCAACAGTTAGCAATTTGAATTTCCTGCCTTCTTCCCCTGCCCTTTTGTATTCGTAACTGGAAGCTCCGGCCGCAAGTTGAAGCAAAATTTTGTGGCTGGAGCTGGTTGTAACTCTAAATGGTCGTAAGTTGGGATGTTCATAGGTCGAGGCACCACTGTATTCTGTTTTATCATTCTCTTTTTAAAATCTCTTTTACTTATTTCGTTTGACAAATAATTTATCTTACTTGATGGAGGAGAGGCCACTTTTGTTGGATCCCATTGCTTACAAGCAGCAGCCTTCCCCCTTGCAGCTACCCTCCCCCCCAAGGCACAAAGTCCTGCTCTACGGGAATGGGAAACTTTCTGAAGCAAGGTTTTTGGTTATCGGAAAATGCTGTAGCAAGGAGGAAAGGGAAGAAAGTCCAAGTTCCAATGTCATTAGATGTTGAAGTCTACTGCTGGATTTGGGTTCGAGCATTTATCATATGTGAAGGGCAAAAACAGGAAAGGAGAGAAAATATATAGGTACAGAGGACAAAGATGGAGGAGAGATTGTGTTAGACTGATATTGACTGAAAGTATGTTGATTGTTAGTAATGACAGAGTGGCAGACAGGGATGAAAGGAGCAGCGGAATATGGAGAGAAGAAGCAGAGGGTATTTTCAATAGAGTATCATGCAAAAATGGGCAATACATCATTTCACAGTGTTTAAAGGCATTGGGGAAGTGTGGATCACCAGGTGTGTTTGTAAAAGAGATTCATGATAATGTGTTTGGCTGTTTAAATTGATGAACAAAATTGTGAATCTTAAGATCTGAAGCACGAGTATCAAAATTTTGCCCATTTTCTTCCTTGGAATATATTTTCTAATTAAAATGTAGAATAATATCTGTTTTCCATGTCTTATTCCTTTCCCACACTTTCATCTACCCTCAGGGCTTGAGTACTTTGCTCTGGGTAAGTCTTCTTAATTTTTTTCCCCTTTTCTTTACTTTCTTTTGCATCCCATTCCACTGGAACACAAATTCTGCATGAGGTCATGGAAACTTATTTTTACTTATATGCCATTTATTGCAATACAGCACACTGCAGGTGGATGTCACAATACACAATGACAGAATTATGTATTTAACCTGTTTAATTTGAGTAGGAAACAAAGCTGTACTTGAATTCCTCAGATAAGAGGACTTAAAAGCACAAGTAGCATAGCATTTCAGTTTACCCACCTAAGTATGTAGCTACTCCTTCGTCATCTTTTCTGAAGTTCTTAATATACCTATTAATCACTATACCACCAACTATCACATTAACATGTTATGATACTGGGTGTTCTTTTTTTCCTCCATATTCCTTTATCATTTCATCAACTGGAAAGTGTTTTATGTGATGGCAGTAAAAGGTTTGACATAGTAGTTGTAGAAAGGCCTGCATCTGAGGTTGAAAGATGCTGAGCTCTTGACTTTGACCTACTCTGCTGTGGTTAAGGTGAGTAAAGTGTTCATGGCCTATATGTACATAATTGTGCCTTTGAGTACAAAGGAATGGTGACAATGACAAAGTTGTTTATGCTTGTGAAAGCGTGCTGCCAGAGGGTATACTGTACAAATAATTTTGAAATAAGTGATGGTAGATGTTCCATTCCCACAGTCCTCCTTTAAAAGGGAATAATTTTTCTTCTTCACTAAATCTCTATGACTCATACAGATGGGCTCTATGCCTAGACAAAACAGTCTTTGAAATGTTCCAGAGTTGAGCAGCTTTTCAGTTGGGCTCTACTCCTCCTCCTTTTCTGTTGCGTGTCTCCAGGTATGCCCAGCTGACTCTCTCCTTAGCAATTTTTTAACTGTACTTTTTTGTATCGCTCTAGAATGATTGGATAACCAATTTAAAATGAGCAGGAAATAAATGTCATGTTTGCTCTTTTGTTCATAGTTGCCAAACAAAACAAAACCACCATAATCTCAGTGTCAACCATATTTGTCTTCTGCTAGCTATTTTCATTGTATTTGGTGTAGATTTTTTTTCGCTAGACTTGTACTGCAGTGCTTCTAAAGTCAGCTTATATCTTCGCTGCAGAAGAGCATTTCCAGGAACAGGCAAGAGCTTGCCACAGATTGCTAGCACCTTAAGCAGACAAATCCTTCTGTTTATGAACTTGTTTTAAACTAGTTCTAAGTACAAGCATGGCTTGTGTCACACAAACAGATATTTTTGTTTGCACTCATTTTATTTCAGTACAAGATTTTTCTTCAAAGGAGAGTACTCGTGCTGCAGCATCGAACAATCTAATAATTAGAAGTGTAATATCATAAGTGTTTGGAGAGGGCAAAAATAATGTGCTATTAGTGTTTCAGCAATGTATTAAATGAAGTGTTCTATTAATGTGCTTGTCTATTGGATTTTACATCAACTCTTTGCATCTTAGGGTTTTTTTATCAAGTGGTACACAATCACGATTCAGTTTAGAATTGAAACTGATTTTGTTTTCTCAAGTGATATGGAGATTTTTTTTTTTTTTGGTAACAGTAACTTCCTATTTTTCCTCGCAAAGACTCCGAGATAAGCAGTTTCCACAAAACACAGTTGAAACATACATCAGTGATTAAAATCATTGTTCCCAAACCAGAGATAAATTTATTTATTATTAATAATAAAATGTCTTGTTCCCTAAAAGCTTGCACAAATAAATCTGTTGTCAGCTGAGGCTTATGGGACAACAGTAAGGGTAACAACTGAGCTGCTGGGGTGTCAGCCCCCCCTCCCCAAAGACTTTTCTCTGTGTGTTTACTGTAAAGACTGGCCACACCCCACAAGAAGTGTCTCACTGGTTGACCTTAATTTGAAGTTTGTTGAAGTTTGTTGCAACTCCCTTTTGTAATACAGTGGTGCCTCGCATAACAACGTTAATCCATTCCAGCGAAATCGCTGTAGAGTGAAAACGTCATAAAGTGAAATAAAAAAGCCCATTGAAACGCATTGAAAACCATTCAATGCGTTCCAATGGGCTGAAAAACTCACTGTCCAGCGAAGAGCCTCCATGGGGCGGCCATTTTCGGTGCCTGTAGAGCGAGGAATCCGTTCAAAAACACAGTGGGGAGCCATTTTGAACTCCCGACGGCCATTTTGAAAACCTGACGATCAGCTGTTTTGAGTGTCGTAATGCAAAGAATCGGTTCCCGAAGCAGGGAACCGATCTTCGCAAAGCGAAAAAAACCATTTAAAACATCGTATTGCGATCACATTTGCGATCACAAAAACATCGTCGTGAAGCGGATTCGTCGTTATACGGGGTAATCATTAAGCGGGGCACGACTGTAGTCAAGTAATCTGCAACCCCCATGCCATATTTGGATAAAGAGGCCATTGTTGTTCCCTGACATGGCAGTGCAATCACTGATGCTTGCCCTCCTGCTTCTGTCACCACTTCAAAACTGGGGAGAGGACAGGCTGGGGAAAGGGTTTAAATGTAGGGAGAAGAGATGGCAAAGGATTTCAAAGATGAGCCAGAGGTGGAAGGACACTGCAGTACCCAGGAAGGGGGGAAAAACCTATGCGCAGAGAGGATCCCCCTCAGAAACCAGCATAAAGCTTCCCTTACACTTGCTGCAAAAGAGACAGGCTGTTTTTTTGTCCCCCTTCCTGTGTGTTTGTTGTGGATGGGGAGGTTGGTCTTCTTTTTCCTTAACCTCCCCTTCTTCAGGCTGTCTCAAAGCAATGTCTTGGTCAAAATCCCTTTCTTGCAGAATTGGCAGCATTTATATCTTTCCATGGTCATTTCTTTTTTTATGTGTAAAACAATAGTTTCTCTTACATACACTTACATTCTAACTTTAACATTCCACGCCAGAAGGTCAAGGAAGAAATTATTTAACAAGGGTTGAAATACAACCCCATCCCCCCAAAACACTTTGTGACCACCTTGGGTGTCCTGGCCCCCAGATAAGGAAACACTGCTTAATGGCCTGAGCCATTAAGGGCTGTGTGCATTAGATGGATTGACTCCCTCAGTGAAACACAGGCTTGAGGTTACAAGAGCAGAACAGGGCAGTTGAGGACAGGACATTTTGGAGATTGCTCATTCATAGGTTTCCCATAAGTCGGAGGAAACTTGACAGCACATAACAACAGTGAACAAATGGGAAGCTGTTGCTGTATTCTTAAAAGTCCATCTTTGGTAGGAACGGTTTGAGTTGAGATCTGAAGTGCATTGAACTGTTCTTCTGAGAGGTTACTTTCTGTGAACTGGATTTGTGTTGGAGGGAAGGGTTACTAATACTTTTTTGCAAATATTCATCACCATGTTTGCCACTTTCCTTGGGACCATTACTAGTGTAATGTGGCCCTTGTCAGTTTGTTTTGCAAAGTTAATGAGCATTAGCAGCCATTTAGTTCTTGCAGGAAGGATAATTTACCAGTCCCATTTGCAATGTTACAGTAAAATTTGGGGTTAGGTGGTGAAAAATACTTGTGGCCCATTTTCTATTTTGTAATGTTTTAGTAGCTTGTACTGCAACAGGCTATCTGACTCACACTCAGAAAATGACAATTGTGACATCCTCACTGTTAACTGTAGTCCGCAATTCAGTCAAGTGCCTTTGATAAAATGTTCCTTGTTCTTTAAACTGATCATTGTTCTTCCAATATTTTGGATCATGTAGTGGGCATAATAGGGAGGGCAGAAACAGGAAAAGATATAATGCAATTCTTAGTGGTTTTATAACCTGTCTGTAATTAAGAGTCTGTCAAAAGATTTAGTATTGAGAGAAAATAATCTCTTTAAAAAGGTAAGCAGCATTTGAAGTGCAATACTTCAGTGATATTAAAAGTTAGATTTTTTTTCTACCTGCCTGTGGCATTAGAACATATCCTATAGGCAAAGCTTTTTCCTTAGGGAAGTATGGGATTATACTGGGCTTGGAAGGCACTTGACTGTACTAGAACATAATTTCTGCAATACTTTCTGTACATGCTGACTTATTTTTTTCTTTTGCTTCTTTTGTATTGCTTATTCATAACAGTGCACACTATCAAATGCATTGCCATTTTTATGTGTTTGTTTCATTAAATGCCACTGCTTACAGGATGCTTGAATGCTTCTTGCTGTGGTCATGCTGGTATATTTAAAACCAAATCTGTTTCATAAAATTTGAAGTACAGTTTTTATAAGCGGGGGGGGGGAAGACCTTCAATACTAGTGTGTACAGTGAAGCAGGTATGCTATTTAGTAAATGACTGAAATGTCTGTCATGATGAAAAATGATCTTATTTCCTTCTTAATCGGCAGAATTGATTTTTCAGGCTATTTGTAGGTGTTCCTTTCAGGTGGAATGAGACACAGAGCAAATATGGGTTTATTACACATAACTGAATGGTGACTATTAGTACTTATAAATAGTTATATAAATTTCTAGATAAAGTTTTCTAACCTAAAGTGTATCTCATCCAAAGTTCCTTTCAAAGAGCAAGATCACACTGTTATCTACTGGGATGGTTTTCTTGGAAGTCTTTTATGGTGTAAGCCACCTAGAGTGGTCAAAATCAGTGGTTCCTAACCTTTGTTACTCAGATGCTTTTGAACTGCAACTCCCAGAAACCCCAGTCAGCACAGCTGGTGGTGAAGGCTTCTGGGAGTTGCAGTCCAAAACTCCTGAGTAACCCAAGGTTAAGAACCAGTGGTCAAAATGGCCAGATAGGCAGGGTATAAATAAAATAAAAAAATAAATAAAAAATAAAGGTCTCTAATCACAGTGCTGCATGCTGTGCGTACTAATTAAATACATGCACAACTGTCTCAAACAGCTTTCTCTGACATAGAGCTCTCTAGATATTTTGGAGAGAAAATGTCAGCATTCATGACTCCTGGCTATGCTGATAGTGTGATGGGAGGACTGTGAATAAGGATTGATCTGTAATCCCATGCAACATTTGCAAAATTCACAAAATCATTTGCAGAGCTTACTATGGCCTTTGTGTCTGTTTAATTGAAACCTGTATTTGTAATAGAAATGTTGCAGTTGGACATTTGTCAGTTACAACTTTGTCTGGACCAAATTTCATGGTACTAGGACATACACAGCTCAGTAAAAACAAACTAATAGAAGTTTATCCAAGGAAGTGGACTTTGTTCACAAAAGTTCACATTGAAATAAAATTGTTAGTTTTAAAAGAGCTATAATTTTTTTATTGTTTTATTTGTGGATGTTTGTTTTTTGTGATTTTTGTCTGTGTGTGTTTTTTAGTCAACATGCTGAGACAAACTAAAATAGCTGTGACTTTGGAAAACCATAAAAACGGAAAGTTTCTTTCAGCTTTAAAAAAATGGTGTTGATTTTTTTTACTGTCTTGCATTTCAAAGTGCCAGGAAGTCCTAATGCCTTCTAGGAGCAACAGTAATTAGTAGATTCATTAATATCTTTTGGCTGTATGAACATGATTATTAACTTTTCAGTAGTGAAAACTGTGACTCTTAATGATGCACTTATCTGCAGATAACGGTTGCTTTATTTGACAGCAAAATCCAATCCTCCAGCTATATTTCTTAGAGTTAGATGAGACATTTTATTCCAAATGGGCGCTTTAAATTAGCCTCTGCTTGAAAAAGTTGTCTGTTGCCTGCTTTTTTCTCTCTATCCTTCTTCACATGTTCTCCTTCATTTCCTTTGCTACCATTTTTGTTTCCATGAGACCCAGGAACCCAAAGAAGCAGTAGCAGCAATAAATGTCCTTGCACTGTAGCAAAGGAAGACCACAAGGCCAAATTCCCACAGGTTCCAAGTACTCCACAGAAGTATTGACTAATTGCTATAAAAACCTGGATACATGGCAGTTATTTATTAATAAGTATTTATAAACAAATTTCCTTTGTGCTGCCAGTACAAACAGCCAGTGCTTTTTAAAGCAGGAGAGTAGAGGCTAGGCAGTAGCACAGTCTGTTGAGCTGGCTATGCAGGTTGTTTCCTTCTTATCTCTTGTAGCTTCTGACAGTTGTTACCATGGTCTACTCTATAATCTGCTAAGCTTTTATTTACAAATTATGGGGGTTTGAAAAAATAAAGGAGCCACCATAAAATATTTAGGAGACATTTATAGATTTAAGTACTGGTAGTGCACAGGGATGAAAAGGTATTTTACATTCTTTGTGCTAACAAGTTTTGGGTTTTGGTTTTTAGTTGCTTGGGGTTTTCCTGCATTACTAAGGGTTCTATCCAGGACCACATGTGGGCTTAGTATTCACTCTGGAAAAAGGTCCCATGTACCTGAGATAGCTTTACAGGGTGCCCTCTAGAGCAGTGGTCCCCAACCGTTTTGGCACTGTGGACTGGTTTAGTGTGCGTGGGGGGCCCTTCTGTGTGCATGTTTGTGTGCCGGAGTATGTCTTTGCATGTGGAGGGTGCGCGTGCAGGGGGCACGGGTGCATCCATGCGTGTATGTGGGGAGAGATGTATGTGTCAATGCGTGTATGTGGGGTGTGCATGTGTGCATCTGTACATACATGTGGGGTAGTTCGTCCATGCATCTATGTGGGGGCAGTGTATGCATGCGTGCACATGGGGAGTGTCCGTGCATGGCAGTGTGTGTGTGTCTGCGTGGAGGGGTGGGAGATCCCTCTCCATGGTCCGCTCCTGCCAAGGCTACAGCCCCGTAATGGGCTGAGGACCACGGGTTGGGGACCCCTGCTCTAGAGCACAACAGAGGAAGGAGACAGGACATATACCTGTTTTGCCAGCAGTGTTTCTACAGACGTAATATTCTGAAATAATATGTACCGTGGTATTTAATTAAACAAATATTCTTCTCCTTTTTTCCCCTACGTCATAATAGAATTTCTCAGAAGAAAGCCTTCAATCACTACAAACATTGAACATATGCTTGGTTTAATAATTTAGGTTTAAATGTTTGGTGTCCATCCTCAGTTGTCTGTCTCTCTTTCCAGGAATGCCTGCTGTATGCAACCCAGGCATGGTGCCCGTGGCAATCCCACCTCCTGCAATCAACCCTCAACATGTCTGTAATGAAGAGGATCTAAAATCTCTCCAAGATATGTTCCCCAACATGGACAGAGAAGTAATCCGTTCAGTTCTAGAAGCCCAGAGGGGGAACAAGGATGCTGCTATTAATTCCTTGCTTCAAATTGCAGAAGAATCTTAGATCCTTGTGCATGTTCCTCATCTTCACTGTTACCCATACTTTTGTTTTGCCAAGCCAGGGACTTAGAGGAAAAACATCTTGAGAAAGCATCCTGGTTGAGAGATTGTGTTTCTTTTTTTATGGTGGTGGCTGGGAAACTTCCACATTTGTTGTTAAGATCCATAATAACCTCAGATATTTTTATGAATATCAGTTCTGCTATGTGTGGCTGTATTTCTGTTAGAGAGGTGGAGTTGGAAATATTTATCTTGGTCCCCCACAACCTATCTCTGTTTTTGCAGAACAAAGTACCCACAATCATCTATACCTAATTTTCAACACTATGCATTATGGAGATAAAAGTGGATTTGGGGGTGGGGAGATATGAGGTGGGATTGTTCCACTGAGTGCTTTTACAAAAAGTACAGTATTTCTTTCCCAACATATGATCCTTCTCTGTGAAATGCAGGAAGTTATCACACTGTACATTTGAGCTTTAGTTGAACATTGCAACAATTTATGATACTTAATCTAGAAGACAGGTTTTCTAGGATCTTTGCCATCATTAGAATGAAAGATTCCTTTTCACAGCCTATTAATTGGGCACCAGTGGAATACATTTGTGTGATTTATGTTAATTAAGAGTCTGTTGCTCTCACCAGACATGTTGCTATGCTTCTGAAATTTTCAATCTCTTGTTTCTCAGGACATAGGTGTGTGTGCTAGAGGTTGCCTGTCATCTGAGCAGGTAGATGGGCCCTTCAGCCTGCCACTCAGAGTAAGGTGCTGCCTCACTTAGACCATGAGCTGCTAGAGCAACAGGGTTGTTCCAAAATAGGCTTTTCTGCTTCCTTGCACTGTTACTGCTTCTGTATCTGTGAGGTAATTTTAAAGAATGAAACGTTGGAAATTTTGTCCTCATCATTTAATGAACATCCTTGTGGTCATTTGTCATGAAGTAAGTGTTTTGAGGGAAAAACACTGCTTCACTTGTGTTTTTTCCCTTTTCAAGAAGTAGTTTTCAAAGCATAACTTTTCAATAGAATATCCAATGCACTGATTTATTCGATACCACTTGACCTTAGTTCTCTCAGAGTTCAGGCATATGAAAGTATGTCACAAGTGAAGCAAGCCAAACTTTTAAAACACAATCCCAATAGATATGAAGAAAGTTATTGTATATATTAATTGCATTTTGTTGGATGTGTAGGACTTTATGAGGTGACAAATTCTGTACCTGTTGAATTAGTTCATTTTCCGTTTTTCCTAAAACAAAAGTAAAGTAATGCACTTTAATCTGCACATTTTATTATAATGTGTATTTTGGCATTTTGATGGTTTTTAAAATATTTTAAATCTCTTCTATAATTCCTAGCCATACTTTGTACTTCATGAAATGATTGAACACAATACAGGTTCACATGTTGGTTGTCAGTTCCATTGTCTTGAAGGTAAATAACTTACATTTCCTTCTCTCCATAATGTTCTCCTCTCCCTCAAGCGTTGAAAATGTCCATTAAAAATTACGTTAACATATCATCATAAATACTCCTGGCACAGCCAGCTATAGTTAAAATATTTATTTTTCTAATTATTAAAGTATGTAGGCAAGTAATTTTTAAATGGAGTACCAAAAATATATATGTGTTTTGCTTCTACTGTTTTTTTTGCTTAAAATTTGACTGTCTTACTTCTGTTTCATTGACTTCCATTTATGACTGCTAATTTCTACTGGTCCAGTCCACTCCCTTCTTCTTCTTTTACTTTTTAAATTCATGATTATGGCAATGTATGTGTTTTAAAATGGGGTTAAGTATGGGAAAGAGGGAGGTGTGGCCTTTCACGTGTTTGTTGGCCTACTGTTGCCACATTCCCTTCCTATTGGTTGTGCTGACTAGGTCTGATTAAGAGATGAAGGGCTCCATATTCCCTGCACCTGCTCTAGAGCAAACATGCATCCATGAGAACATTAGCTTGGTCCCTTTCTCAGTACTTTGGAGCGCTTCCATATGAGTAAAGTGTCAGACGTTTGGCAGTAGCACCAGAGTACAGTCAAATTCCTGTATGTGAACTAAGATAATTAAGGATAATTTTACTCAGAAGTGCTCCATGAAAAGTCTAAAATAGCAATTCATTCTTTAGATAAATGTTCTGTTATAGCACTGTATCAGTGGGGAAAAGTGGGCTGCATAACTGTATACATTCCTAGATTTTGAACCTACTCTGAGGTAGACAATGTGGGTAATTTGTTTGGTCATTTATGGATGATATTAAATTCTGTGCTTAATTCTTTGGGAGCGTAATTATAAATAAATTCCGTTGCATCCAAAGTTTGTCGTACTGGAGCGAGTTATCTGCAGCCAGAGTTCAGCTGAGAAGGTCCTACTACTGGAAAAAGGGAACAATATTCATTAATTTAATCTTTGTCATTTGGAGCCTCTAGTTCTTGTTGATTTTTCAACTCACTGGAGCACATCTTAGGGGGACATAGATGAATAAAGGAAGATGAGGGAATCCCTTCCTTTCTGTTTGGCTAGTAGACTATTTCATTCAGTTCAAAAACTTCTGATGAAATTTCTAAAAATATAGCTGTGTTAATCTGATGGAAGGAGCACTTCTGCCTGTTGGAGATTATGACTGGATCCAGCCTATTGAAAGTAGTTGAGAACGTAGTTTCATATCAGAATAGACATCAAAATGGGACTCCTAAGAATAAATTCAATTTCTTTAGTAAAGGTCCCAGGAACTGCGACCTGTAGAAGGCCTGGAAAACTTCAATAAAGGTTCTTAAACTGCATTTTTATGCAGCAGAGTTGAGACTTCATATAGGTACTGATTTTGATCAGATACTTTGCTATAAATATTTTGTGCTGCCATAATGAAGAAAATAGAAACAGTGCACAATCCTATATTAATACCCGACATTCACTAATATCTGCATTGTTATTTAAAAATAAAAATGAGCAGTTGCAAGCATGGCTTAGTTCTGTGCATCTCTCTTCTTGATAGCTACCTGAATATACCTTGGTCCTACAAACATGTTTTTTGAATAGTCCCCATGAATGGTCAGTGGCATTTACATCCAAATAAAATGGGGGCCCATGTTTCCGATGTACAGAACTGAAATGTACTAGTCACCTATTAGTTAAATTAGATGCTGTTCAGTGTTCAACTCTTAATACTATTTCTCCCATGCTCCATTTGAGAAAGTGTCATGTTCAGCTTTTTGCATCTGTCACAGTACCCCACCAGCAGTCAAGAAGCTGCTATGGACCTCTGCTGAAATTTGAACTGGTATTGGCAGCTTCAGACCTGCTAAGGACCTGTAAGTGGTTAAATCCAGGAATATTTTTGTTTAGCTAGATGCTCACCACTTTCTTCTTTACTGCTCTTTGAGTGTGTGCTGGGGGTTCCAAGCATTTCCCTTTACAGATATTATTGCTTCTATTGGCTGATCTGTAATACTGCATAGAGGATGTTTTGCTGTAATAATTCTGAAGAGTTTTTTTTACTGTATTGAGGTTCAAATGTTTGTCTCTTGCATTGTAAAGTCTTTTTTCTCATTCTGCCTAATTTAATAAATGTATGCCAAACTGTTAAAAATACAGTTTTTTTATCACAGTCATTATGCTTCTCAACATGTTAGTTCTAGAAATTGTGAATGAATGTAATTTTAGGATGCAAATGCCTTTGCAGGGTTTTTTGTTCAATTAAGGAATATATTAAACTACAAATCCTTCCTTGGCATGTTTCAATCTGTTTACTCTTAGTTAGAGATGCGGGTATTTGTTCGAATATCCCTGCACAGGTGGGAAAAAAAAGGTCTGGCCCCATGGGGCTGGACTGTCCACTCACGATTTTGCTGCTGCCGCCGGCTCCACAGAACCTTCCTATCGTGCCATTGTCTGCAAGAGATTACCCACTCCTGGCAGGAGGCAGAATGACAAGCCTCTCTGCTGGGGCGCAGAGTGGCTGATTCATTGCGGAGAACAGCGTGAGAGGAATGCTCTGTGGAGCCGGTGGCAGCAGCAAAATTGTGGTGCAGAGTAGCTGATTCATTGCGGAGTACGGCGTGAGAGGAAGGCTCTGTGAAGCCGCCGGCGGCAGCAGCAGCAAAATCGTGATTGAACAGTCCAGCCCCATGGGGCCGGACCCTCATTCTTTCCACCTGAGCAGGGATATTCGTATACGAATACCCCCATCTCTGCTGTTAATGGCAGGATGGAGTGAATCCCTTTGACAACCATTGTGTTTGAACAACTAGACAGTTGCACATGATTCAATCTGGATTTACCTGGAAAGGCCTCATAATCACAGTGTATTTTTGGGCAGTCATGTTCTCTGCCTCACTCTTACTGTCAATAAAGCTGGAATAGTAGAGCATCCTTATTTGAGTCAATAATAATGTGCCATCGAGTCAATTCTGATGTATAGCAGCGCTTTCCAGGGTTTTCTGGATACAGAATACATGTAAATATTTTACCAATTCCTTCTTCTGGAGGTAGCTTGGGGCTGTGCTACTTGCCCAAGGTCACACAGGCTAACTCTATTTTCAGGAGGCACAGTGGAGAATCAAACTCCCACCCTCTGGCTTTGCAACCAGGTATCTAAACCACTGACCTATCTGGCCTTAACTGGGTTAAGGGCAAATAATATCAAGATTCTTGGGTACACAGTATTATTAAAAATAATAATTTATAGTTGTAGTGCTTTTCCTCAGTGATTATTATTATTTTATAAAGCCACAAATGTTTATGCTAAGCTCATTATTTTAAACATGCTTTCATCAAAATATTTGTTCCTAATGGACTGGAATGTTTGACAGTGCTATTTTTTAAAAAATCATTTCATTTGGCATTTGCAAAAGTAAGTCATCACATGTTATGAGTAGCTTTTCCTGATTATCTGAAGCCTGAGAAAGATTCCTCACATATTTTCCATCCAAGAATGGATGGGGAAAAACTGCATTGGTTTTCCTGAAATGAAGGGTGCTATCACATTCCATTCATGTATATAAGATGTAGAATATTAGTCCACCCTTTGAGAACATTACAAACACAAATAGGAGTCAAGTTAAGTTAAATAGGTTTCGTTACAAGAACAGTTTCAATACAATTAGGATAAAGCACTGTAAGTATAAAGGTTCAGCATTCAGACCAAGAAAAGATAGAAAGCTTAGAAGTGAGTGATCATCATCAGTCTTGAGAAAGTGAATTTGACACACCAAGCTTTCTTGGTCCATAATTCTTACTCTTTTAATTCCATATCCTATGGCTAAACTTGCCTAACTATTACATGTAATTATTCCAAAATTTAGATACTAATTGTCCCTTAATGACTGGCCCACCATTTCTGTTTGGGCCAGATGTAACCCCCCCCCCTTTTTGACTACTTAAAATTACCAGTCCAATAGACATTTTTGTGCTTGGTTGTCCAGGCACCAATTGGTTGCACCAACAGATGCTATTTCATTTTGGTATCCTTTTTGTCTTTTTCTCACAACCCAGGTAAAGTCAAGGGACCCACAGACTCGCCCTTCTGGTTACACTACACTTAATAGCAAAATCAACATTACTTTTAATAGCAACTTAATGGCAAGCTTAGTATTTATTCATTATATAACCTCTCAGCTTATCTGTAGACTGTATTTTATGTACTATCTGCGCTTATATGTGCCTATACATAATAGCCTCAAACATCTTACCGCCTAAACAAGCCATTAAAGCAAAGAGAAGTTATCTGCCCTAAAAATCAAAAGAGAGACTCCAGAATCTTATAAATTTATAGGAGAGAATTATTTTTCTCTTCTCAGCTCATCTTAGTTAGTTTAGCTGTAATCAAGCCTGAAGTGGTTTCAGTAGGTGACACAATACCATGTCAGGATTGATTAATAGCATGAAATGGAAATGG